TGGGGGGTACGGGCAGCACCCGACCGCCGGCCAGCGTAAAGCTGGAGATATCCATCTCCGCGCCCAGCAGGGTCCCCGCCCTGCCGAGGCATTCTAACTAATGGGGCACTTAGTTCAATGAGGGGCCTTTGCATAACAGAGACCTGCTAATTAAATTTTAAAGCTTGTCCTTCCCAGGATTCCGCTGGGCTCCGCACCAAGCGCGGGGCGGGGGAAGGGGACCCCGGGCTGGGCCCTCTAAGGAGCGCGAGGTTTGCGGGGAAACCCGGGGCCACAGGAGCGCGTGGCCCCTGGCCCCGCAGGCCCCGCCTCGTCCTCGCCTCCCCAGTGAAGGTTACGGCGTCACCCCAACGTCGCTGGTCCTCACCTCTGACCTCCCCCGGGAGGAGCCAGGGGACGGGGCGGGGCTGCGTTAGGGTTTCCACTGGACCCACACCAGTGCTGTCAAAGCTTGGAAGAAAATGGCTCAGTGCTATTAATAACACAGGGCCGGGTGCTTATTTTCCAACAGAAAAATAAAAGGGTGCTGTGTCCATCCTCCCAGAACGTACCATGGACCAAGATGATGGATTCGCGCAGGCAGCAGGACGCGACGCCCTGCTGAGAGCCTGCGGGGGTAGGGCGCGCTGCATCTGATGGGCTCCCTCACCTGCGACAGCCTGGGACCTGCGAGGGTCACCGGACCCGATGCCGCTGCCGTTTCCGTACAGAGAGAGGCAAGATGCAGAGGACCGTGACACTGGCTGTGCCCAACGCAGGCATCGTGAGCCCCACACCTGGCTGCTTACAGGAGTGAGTCTGGCCGAAGCCTACGTGCCGAGGTCGGAGGAACTCGCACCCGAATTCCGTTCCCACAACTAAAACCTTCAGACCCGAAGGACAGTGTTCTAATTACAAGCATATATTTTGTCTATTTATTTTTTTATTTTGGTACCAGAGATAGAACTCAGGCCCTTTCGCTTGTGAGGCAGGCGTTGGAACCACTAAGCTAAATCCCCAGCCCCATTTTGTGTATTCTGTTTCTGATCTGAGAATGCTCCGTCTGATCCTTTATGAGCCTTGCTTACATTAATTTCCATAGCAACACACGCCACCTTTACCCCAATTGATTGCCAATAAAAGTGAGTGCCCGAAGGCCAGGGATATAGCTCAGTGGCATTGCTGCCTGCTTCGCAACTGCAAGGTCCTGAGTTCGATCCCTGGTACCACCAAAAAAAAAAAAAAGTCAGCGCAGGGGACTGGCCCTGCTTTCTCTCCCAGCTCTGTCTCTCAGGGTATTTTTCCCTCAGGCTCGCGTCGTGTACTGGGCAGGTGGGGACTGGAACCTGACTGCAGGGGTCTCCGGCAGGCAGGGTATGGCAATGCCTGCTCCCTCCCCCGCCCAGGCAAACCTGTACCCAGGTGCAGGGCAGCCAGTGAGTTGGAGCTGGGCCGTCTGTCTCCCGGGTGGTGGTGAGGAAGGGGGAGGGCAGTGAGGGTGGCTCCGTTACAGAGCGGCTCTGAGCTCGGTCCGCTGCTCTCCAGGGAGTCTTGGGGGAAGTGAGGGGCAGCGAGGGCACTTCAGGAGCCAGGTGACCTTGACTTCCGGCCTGCCCACCTGCTTTGAGCCGGGCCCTGCGGATTCCCCTCTTTTAAAACAGAAGTGAAGTTGGGCCTGGGGTGATGCCAGCCTCCCCCCGACCCTTGCCCTACTTCCTGTCCTGGTGCTGCCCTGGCTCCTACTGTCTGCGCTGTTCCGCCCGCTCTCCCTGGGCAGGCTCGCAGCACACCCCCTCCCGGGCTCTGTGGGCCACCGTGTCTGCCTTGTTCCCACCTATGCACCTGCCAGCGTGGGGCCCTGAGCGCCCCCAGGCAGGACTTTGTGCAGATGTCCATTTGCAGTTCTGCATCAGGCCTGGACCTCAGGTTCTGATGGGGAGGCTGTGCTTAGGGGATCCTTTTTGTTTTAATGTTCGCTTTTTGAGTGTAGTTTTTTTTGTGTGTGTGTCCTGGGGATTGAGCTGAGGACATGGGCTTGCAAGGCAGGCACAGAGCCACTGAGCTACATCCATCCCCAGCCCAATGCTTGCTTTTTGAGATAGGGTCTCTCCATGAAGTTCAGGCTGGCTTTGAACTGTGTACCTTGAACTTCCCACTAGGAATGGTTGGGGGAAGGCTGTGACTGGAGGTGAGGTCCTGGGGTATTCAGGATCCTCCTGCCTCGGGCCTCCAGAGCACTGGGATTATAGCCCTACACCCCCACACCTGGCTGGTTCTTGTTTCTAAGGAAAGACTGTGCCGCAGTCCAGGGGAGGCTCTGTCACTCACCAGCCACCTCACAGGAATGCTCAAGCGTTCTGTCTTCCCCACACCCTCCCTGATCCCGGGAGTAGTTTTCTGGTTTGGGGGTTTGTTGGTTGGTTGGTTGGTTGGTTGGTTTTTACTGCAGCGCAGGGATGAAGCCAGGGCCTGGAGCCAGCAGGCCGGGGCTAACTGTGGAGCCACACCCAGCCCAGCAGCAGGGCTCTATGCAATGGCCATGCAGGTGAGGGGTGGTGTGACTCCCGTGCCACTGTGGGAATCCTACCCAGCACAGATGAGGAAACCAAGGCCCTGAGAGGCACAGAGCCACCGGCTGTGGCGTGGGGACCTGGGGCTGCTTCTCCCACATCCCCACCTCCTCACAGCCTTCTCTCCAGCACCCCCCAGTGGGGAAAGGACCAGGCTGGAGAGGGACAGGGGCCACACTGCACCCCGTGGGCTCCCTGGACTCAGGATGCCCGGCGCACAGCCCTCCTCCCCTCTGGGAGCCCTGGTCCTAGTCTCTGGTCTTCCTAGGCTCACCTCGAGCCCCAAGCGACTGCTTCTTCTTTCTCTTGCCCACGTCTGTGCTGAGAGGGGCTTCTCGGGTCAGGATGAAATATTTTTATGGTAAAAAATGAGCCTGCGTTGCGTGGGCCTCGGGAGGTGGGAGCCGTCACCAGGTCTGCAGACGGATGAAAACTCTGCTTATGAAGTCGAGGCTCCCCCATTAATTAGGGGGGAGGGGGCGCGCCCGCCACGACGCACCACGCCCACGGCCGAAAGCTTGTCAACACCGCCCTGGAAGCCGGGAGATGCGAGGGACTTTCAGATCATTCAATGTCACTGAGGTAGGAAAAGGGTCTCCACGCGGGTGTCATTCATCTCATCGTGAATTTAAAGAGCTTTTTTCTATTAAATTTCCTTAAATTAATGTTGTATGTTGCTCAGAGTAATTTGAACAATTATTGGCCTAAAGAATTGATCATTACAGCCCCCGGGATTCACGCTGCAGCCTGAAGCCTTTGAAAACCCGCTGATTTATGGAGGCCTCAGCCCCGCCCCCAGAGCCGGGTGTGGGTCCCAGCCCCCGTCGTGCCTCAGCGGGGTCACTCCCTGCAGATGGCAAGGAGGGGAGGGGCAGGGGTGTCCGGGTCCCTGGTCCCTGACCGGGGCGTCCTTGAGGCCCGGAATCCCCGGTGCAGATCTATAGGAAAGAAGCCCACTCCGCACTGAGGGGTCGCTGCTTTTGCCTTTCAGGTGCTCGACCGGGTGACAAGGTCAGAGGCCAGAGCCGAGGGGCCCAGGGCCGCTTCCACAAGGGCAGTCCGGAGACAACGGGGAAATCCGGCTGGGACCCGCAACCTGCCAGACTCCCCCAGCTCCTTCCTGACTGCTGGGTCCTGGGGCCAGGAGGTTCCTCTGGAGGGTTCTCGCTGCCGATCCCCCAATACCACCACAGCGGATCCCAGGCCTGGGGACCCACGTTAGGAGCTGTGCCCGGGCCTGAGTCAGAGTGGGGCTGCTGGACAGCAGGAGTCTTGGAAGTCACAGCTGAGTGTCCCCGAGTCAGGGCCGGACCACTGTTAGTTCTGCTGCACTGGGTTTAGGTAGGGAAACTGAGGCCAGGACATCCGACAGGCCTGCGCCCTAAGGGGCCAGTCTGGGTCCCCTGCTGAACCCTACCCAGTCACCCAGTCTGCATTCGGTGACCACCCCATCCCGGGAGCAGTGTAGAAGGCCAGCTGGAGGAACAGGAGTGCCTGAGGGAGGGGACACTTAGCACTTCATTAACCTGTCAGAGCCTAAAAGGCCCCGGGGGACTGGAGGGGGAGGGGCAGGGGCAGCTCGTGCTGGATTTGTTCCAGCCGAACCTGGCCCTTCCCCGTGCTCCCCTCCCGAAATCCAGAATCCAAAGCTGCTTTCCCTGGGTGGGGTGTCCGCCAGCCCCAGGCCCGTACAGGTCGCTGTCTCTGGGTGCCCTCCTCCTGTGCTGAGCGGTCAGCCCTGGTCAGGTCCGCAGCGTCTCTATAGATGGGGCACCCCTGGCTTCCAATTCCTCTCTGCTGGCCCAGCCTCCACAGCCAGGATGGACACCGGTCCTGTGCCTTCCCTTCCCAGAGCTGAGACTCTACTCCTGGCTGTGGTGGGACACGACTGGCTTTGACACAGGAAAAGCTGTGCCCTGCCCAAGGACACTCACAAAAGACAGTGAGCCCCACAGGGTCCCATCCCTAAAGGTCCCTGGTCCCCTGCGCTCAGAGGGGAGGCCCAGCCTCCGTTCCCTTCAATCCCCCTTTGGAGGCAGCACCTCCATCCTCTTTACCCGGAGGAATGCAGGTGGAAGGCTCAGATTACTGGCCCTGGGTCACACCACAGGGCAGCAGGCCAGCTGGGACTGGAAATCAGGTTAGAGACGCCCTGAGCAGGTGCCCCAGTCTCCAGCAACAGGGGACACCAGCACTCCTGGCCCAGATGGGCAGTTCCCTGATGTCCCAGTCCCGCAAACCAGGGACAGAGAGCAGCGATGTGGCTGGGGCACAAGAGGATGGTGCCAGCCTAGCAAGGGGCAGCAGCCCCCACAGGGACTGCTCTGAGGACTGAACCTCTAACCTCTCTTGGCCCACACCCCCAGCCCAGTAAAAACATGGCCATCCAGAGACTGCAACTGACAAATTTATTGAAGTCTTGGAAAGAGCTGATCACCAGAATAAATAAAAGTCACAGGACGTTCACAGAACCAACAGGTAGCCCGATTTTTGTTTTGGGAATGACTCCGACCTAGGCTGGGCTGCCGGCACCTCCCAGAATCGCCTGGAGGAGCCCCGCCCCGCCTCCATCCACCTCTCCCAGCGCAGGTGGAAGGCTCCAGAGGGCCCACGGATTGGAAACAGAGCCCCGGGCAGAACCTGGACGCTGTACAATCTGGGGGCTCCGTGGGAGGCCCCAGGAATCCCCACCTCCCCAGTAGGGTGCTCAATACCATGGAAGGCTATAGAGACCTGGGGGAGGGGAGCTGGTGACAGGGAGCCCAGGGAGAGGACAGGCCTCCAGGGTCTTGTCCATGGCCACAGAGGACACCTGCATGGCCCCTCCCACCCCAGCCTGGACAAGCGGGTGGGTTTCCCACCCCATGGGTCAAGGACCAACATTTGGAGCTGGGGAAATTTACAGTCAGACTGAAAGCATTTCCAAATGCGGGTCGCAGGTCAGACTGAGGCACACCCCCAGGTGTTTCAGGGCTGAACCAGCAGCAAATGCTCAGGTACTCCAAGGAGAGATTGGCTCACAAAGCACAGCCTCAGGCCCAGCTCCTGCACAGCCTTAGGTAGCCATGCCTGCCTCTGGCGTCCTTTCAGTCCTTTTGTCCTTCTGCCCAGGGGCTGAGGAGAGTCAGGCGACGGGCTCTGCAGACACCAGTACTCTGGGGATGTCCTCAGCCTCCCTCCGAGGTCCTGGGGGACAGTGCCACTCCCCTCACATCCAGTGCTGGTGGTGGCCGGGCCTCCGTCAGAACTGACCATGATCCACCTCGTCCAACCAGGAGGCCGGGCTGGCAGGGAAGTCAGGGTAACCCCCGCTGCTCCCCGTGGACAGGTCGGAGCTGGGTCCGTTCCCCGCCAGCCCCCTTATGGCTGGGGTGCTGCCTGGGACTCCTGAGGGCACGAGGCCTAGGCTGGTGTCGGGGTACACCAGACTGGACAGCAGGGGCTGGGGGCCAGGGAGGCTCTGCGGGGCAGCAGGTGACGGGGGGATGCCATAGGGGCTGCCAGGGCGCAGCTCTCGGTATGGTTCCGGGCCTGCCAGACCGCCGTGCTCTAGCGCGAAGCTGCCCAGGGCAGTCGGGGGCCGGCCCAGGGGTGGGGTGGGCTCCCCCAGGCTGCTGTATAGGCTGTTGGCAGGGCCCATTTCTGCCAGGGTTGGCTCCTCTGCAAGGGAAGGGGAGAGCGCAGATCAGGACCTGCCCTAGACACAGTTCCCCTGGGTCCAACCAGGCCGGGCAGGTTCTGCAGAAGCCCCTTCTGCTCACAGAATTTCCAGGAGCCCCAGCTCCCTCCCCAGCCCTCCAATTCCGAGTTCCGAGTCCGAGTTCCGAGTTCCGGGCACCGGACCAGGATCAGTCCTCCATCCGCAGCAGTCTAAGGAACGTGAATTCCTGCTGGGGTCAGAGCCAGGACAGCCACCCAGGGATCACAATGACCCCAGGGGAACCCGGGGTCACTGGTACCACCGCCCCATTTACAGATAGGAAATCATGGCAGGGCTGTGGCTAGAGAGGCCGGGCCGTCCCCACGGAGCTGGTGCCAGGCCATTGCCCAGCTTAGGAACAAGGTTCGTCCCAGGGCCCCTGTGCTCTCTGGGAGGATCGTGGTCCCAGGTGGCCTGGCCACAGGTGAGGCAGGGATCGGGTCTCTCCATGGGAGTGCAGCCAGTGCACCAGCCAGGAAACCCCAGCTCCTGCCTCCTGCTATATTTTTCCAGACCACCAGCTTCCACGGAGCCCAGCCCTACCACTGAAGGAGACCTCGGCGTCGCTGTCCTGCCCCTCCTGGATGCTGTCCTTGTCTGACTTGGAGTTGCCGCGGGATCGCTTCATGTTGCGGAAGTACTGTCCCCAGCGCTGCCGGCCTGCGTCCTTTTTCAGCCTCTTCTCCTTGGCCCGGCGGTTCTGGAACCAGACCTGGGGGCGGAGGTGGTGAGGGGCCCGGGCGGCTTGCCGCCATCTGGAAGGGGACCCTCAGGCTGGCGTGGGGGTGGAGCACTGACCTGCACCACGCGCATGTCCAGCCCGGTCTCAGAGGACAGCTGCTCGCGCACGTGTCGCGCGGGCTTGGGCGAGGTGTTGTACGCGCTCTTCAGCGTCTCCAGCTGTTTGGCTGTGATGGTCGTGCGCGGCCGCTTGGCGGTGGCCTCGGCCTCTGCAGTGGGTGGACGAGCGGTGAGGCACCCGCCCCGAGCCCACTCCGGCTCCCCTCGGGCCCACCCGACAGCTTCCCGGAGAGCTCGGCCTGCAGGGGAGCTGAGAAAACACAGGGAGGGAGCGGGAGAGGGGCTGGGGGCACAGCCCGGCGCCCAGGACGCCGGCAGCCCCAGGCCGACTGGGCCTCTGCTACCCGAGAAAGCAGACGAGGCGGGGTTTTGTGGCCAAGGGTGAGAGGAGGGTTCAGAACAGGAGCGTCAGCCCCGTAATTCAGGCCCCTGTAGAGGTGCCGCGAAGACTCCAGGCTCCCGCAGCCTGCAGCCCGGCGGGCCATCCTTGCCCCACTCGGTGGTGTCCAGGCCCCCCACCTCCCCGCCCCAAGCTCCCCGTCCCGACCCTCCCTCCCACCTCGCTGCTTGGCGGCCTCATAGTCTGCTTTGCACACCAGCCGGCTGTCCTCCATGAGGTAGAACTCGTCGCCCGTGGCCAACTGCCGCTTGCACACCACGCAGGCGAAGCAATGCAGGTGGTACACGAAGTCCTGGGCACGGCGCACCACCTGCGTGGGCGGGATGCCCAGCTGGCACGCGGCGCACTTGGTCCCGAAGCGCCTGTGGGACGCACAGGGGCTCATCCGGTGGCCGCTCCTTCCGCTCAGAGCGGGTTGGGTCCAGGAGCTCCCGCCACCACGGGGTGGGTGGAAGGGTCCAGCCCTGGCCCCAGCTGAGAACCCACTACCTTCACCTCCCTGGGGCAGGGCGGGACTGCTCAGCCCCGTGATGAACCTGCCTAGGGCGGCACCTTCAGCCCTGAGGCCTGGTCCCTGCCCAGCATCCCCGCTGGCTGGGGAAGCCGAAGGGCTGGGGCCGGCACAGAGGGGCTAGGAGAGCAGGGGAGGGACGTGGGAAGAGCCAAGTTGTGCCGTGTCCGGTGCCAGCTCCCCTGGGGGCACGCAGTTACTGTGTACGGTACACACGGACCAATACAAAGCTTAAATAAAAAAATAAATCCACAGCAACAGAGTGGATACACGTCCTCATCAGCCCTGCTCAGTAAATAAAACTTTCTAATGTGTGTGTCTTTTTTTAAACAAAGCACAATGTAAGAGGGAGAAATGCTAGTAGAGTTCTGCAAAGTCGGGGTTTAAAGAACGGCTTCCCTGATTTATGAGATGAATCGCTCCCCTCCCCTTAGCATTTGCTGTGTCCCAGCCAGGGCCGAGCCACCTACAGGGCACCCCTAGCCTCACCCGCTCGCTGGGCCCCGGGTGCCCTGCCGACCCCGTCTCCCGCTGCCCCCTGCCGCCCTCGGCTCACTTGAAGAAGTCGTCCCTGCAGTACAGGCTCTCGCCCCGGCTGAAGCAGCGCTCGGCCAGCGGCGCGTGGCAGTCACTGCACTTGAGGCACTTGCCGTGCCAGTGCCGGTCCAGCGCCTTCAGGATGAAGCGGTCCAGGATGTGCTGGTCGCAGCCGGCGCACAGCGGGATCTCTGCGGGCACGGGAGTGGCCAGGTCACGGGGCCTCCCAGACCCGCCGTGAGGCTGGGCCAGCCCCCTTCCAACCCGATGGACCCCGAGCTGCCCAGGGACCCCATCCCCACATTGGCTCTCCAAGAGCAGGAGGGGACTGGATGCGTCCCATGGCTGGGCGGCAGCTAAGGAAAACCAAAATGGTTTAAGAAATGTGTCTGGGCACAGGATGGTCCCCAGCCACCCCACAAGGCCCAATCCCACCATTTACAAGACTTGTGCAGGGCCAAGGATGCGAGTGGAGCTCAGGGCACACTCAAACCTGGGACCCGCTCTGGGACAGAGCACGGGAAAGCGCATGCTTCCTGTTCTCTGAAGGCCAGCACAGGCGGGAATAGGCACCTCTGCCAGAGCACCTCCTTCTCTTTAAACAGTTAAGTGTCCTGGCTTCACAGCACCTGCCCTGCCCCTGCCTGCCGGCCTCCAGTACAAAGGTGCCACCCTTCCCGTCGGGCGGCGGAGGAATGCCACGCTCCGGTCAGGGCACACAGTGGATGGTCTCCCACGCCTCTGGGGAAGCCCAAGGGTCAGCAGGGGCCTTCCAGATGCCTGTGTCGGGAGATTCTGTGATGATTTAAAACTGGTCCAAAGAGGGAAGAGCGGTATGCAGGAGCCGGGATCTCCCCAGACGCGCATCCCAGGCCGCGCTGGCCACCCTAGCTGCCCTGGCGGTACATCGCGGGCTCCAGGCCGTGCTGGGGGTGGGAGGATCCGGGAAGGGCTCCTTCTAGCTGAGGAAGGAAAAGGCTTTGCAATCTCACTCCTGCTCGGGGGAGACCTGCGGTGGACGCGTGGCCCCGCATGGGACAAAGCCTCGGGCAAGCATGAAGAGCGTAAGGGCCGGCCGCGCAGCCACGGTCCCCTAGCCTGCGGCGCCTCCGAGAGCCCAGGACACCTGTTAGGAGCCCATCCGAGTGCCGCCCAGGCGGCGCGGATTCAGCACCGCGGTCCGGACAGCGCCC